TTAGGGTTAGGTTTAGGGTTAGGTTTGGGGTTAGGTTTAGGGTTAGGTTTAGGGTTAGGTTTGGGGGGGGTTAGGGTAAGGTTTTCACTTTATTTTTACATTTTTCGATCTTTTTCGTCGCGCTGTGATGATGTCACATACGTGATTTTGTCGACCGCGATTTTGTCGTCCGCGGTTTTGTGGTACAACCAATTATTCATCTCCCTGCTGGACGGACTTCTTAGCCTGCGGTGAAGCAGGGCTGCCGGACGCTCCTAATAAAGGAATCTTTGAGTTCACTTCGGAGGGTTTGGAGAACCGGGTCAGAACAGATTGTGTCACTTACCCGACAAGGGAGACCCCAAGAGCCCCCCAATGCTTTCGATCATCTGCAGCAGCCCCATGGCGCTGAAGATGTTCTCGATGCCCACAATCTCCGGAATGATGGAGAAGACCACGGGCGTCAGGGCTCCCGAGAAGAATCCGTAGCCGAGGCTGATGGCCATGAGGAGCGGGTAGGTGTGGCCCCAGGCGATCAGCAACAAGGAGAGGCCTGTCAAGAAAGTCCAGGCCACCAGCAGGTGGATCAACCGCGAGGACCTGCAGCTGCCCAGCCAGCCGGAGAAGAGGCGACCGCAGAGATCCGCAACGGCGGTGACGGACATTAGAAAGGCAGCCTGGTACTCGTCAAAGCCCAGTTCTCGTGCCCGGGCCACTAAGTGGACGTAGGGGATGAAATAGCCCGTGTTGACCAGTGTGATGGCAACCACATACCGCATGAACGGGCAGTGGGAAAGTAGGTGCAAGCCGAAAAGGTTGGAGAGCGTCTTCCAGCTCGGTCCTGTCAACTTTCCACCGGACACGTCGTCCTTCAGGGTCAGGGGTCGGATCAGGGCGCCGCAGACCACGAGGTTGAAGGACATGCCGGCTACAATCCTCAGGGCGCCCCGCCAGGCATAGGTGTCCACCAGGAATTGGAAGAGAGGCGAGAACGCGAAGGAGGAGATTCCCACGCCGGTGAGGGCCAAACTGGTAGCCAGGGTCCGGCGCCTCTTGAAGTAGCGAGCCACGGAGGCCATGGAGGGCGTGAAGACCAAGGCCCAGCCGAAGCCTGCAACGAAATCAGATTTCCCTGGTTGGCGAAAACTTTGCTGAAGATCTTCTACACTACAGCATCGTTTGTCAGTTGAAGGGGGTGGACTTCCATTCCCAGAATTCCCCAGGCGGCATGCTTTTAGACGGGTGGACTTCAACTCCCAGAATTCCCCAGCTGGCATGCTTTAAGAGAGGTGGACTTCAACTCCCGGAATTCCCCAGATCGCCATGCCTGCGTTTGTTTTTTTTCCTCCTATCTCCTAAAGCGAAGAGATCGCAGAGGAAGGGATGATAAGAGAGTAAGCAGTAATAGTAAGACAATAGGTCTTACTATTGAAAGGGACGCCTTGGTGTCAGGGAATTCTGGGGGTTGAAGTCCACCAATGGTGGGTTACTCCAATTATCGCTACCAGTATGCTGCTCGTGGTCCCTTCGTGCATGCACTGGACATGCACTGTGCGTGCGCCTGACATACGCTGTGCTTGCGTGTGCACTCCACCATCCCTGCGACACCCAGCTGCTCGTCGGAGGTCGCACAGGCACCGCACGCTGTGCGCGCAGGCGCAATTCGCCTGTTGCTTCAAAAACTGGTATGGAACGCGAACGGGCGGGCGGGCTAAACGAGCTACCGTACCGGTACGGTGGCCGCTGCTCCTGACTCCTACCGGTACGGCCATACTGGGTCGTACCGCCCGGAACCCACCACTGAGGTCCACCCATCTTAAAGCTGCCGAGGTTAAAAAAAGATAAGTGACGTGTACTGAAAGAGCCTCACTTAAGAGACGCTGCCTCTGCGAAAGGATTCGTGATTTTTGTCCACAAAGAGGTAGTATTCACACGGTTCGCTCGAACCGGTTGTGGAAATCACGGGTGGGCCTCTCTAACCGCCCCGGCTCTACGCCGTTCCTCTTTAAGCATGTTTTCGAGCCAGGTGCAAGCCACGCGGGCCATCGAAGGGCATGCATGGAAGGCCGAGCGCATGGGTGGACGGGGACGCGTGTGCGGTCCCATTTTCGAACCGGTAGGGGAAGTAAGCGGATACTATCCCTGGACAGCGGCATTTTCTAACTACGTACCTGAAAGGAGGCCAATGCTGAGGTATAAATGCACCAAACGGGTAGCAAACGATGCCAAGAACAGACCCAGGCCGGAGAGAAACCCACCAACCATAATCACGGGCCGAGCCCCACAGTGGGAACTCAGGGCTGTTCCCACAGGACCTGCAAAGAACGATAAACCTGGTTATATTATCTGCTCCCCAATCCATTTCCCCTTTGAGGCGGCAGCCGCAGCTCGTCCTCGACGTACAGCCGTTGGTTTCGCGACCGTTCTTAAGTTACAACGGCACTGAAAAAGTGATTTAGTGACCATTTTTCACACTTACGTGGTCCCCGGATCAAAATTCAGACCCTTGGCATCTGACTCACACTTATGACGGCCGCAGTGTCCCTGGGGTCAGGTGAATTGCTTAGCCGACCTTCTGGCAAGCCAAATCAATGGGGGGAACTCTGGATTCGCTTAACGACTACATGATTCACTTAACAATGGTCACTTAGCAACCAGCTTGCCTAGCAATGGAAATCCTTGTCTGAATTGGAGTCGTAAACTGAGGACTATCCGTACACCAAAGCTCCCCGTCGTTCTTACACTGATACGGATTCTCAGGTCATTGCCCATCCCTGTAGTTTCTAAAGTTTAGCAGCTTGCGTGGACTTCAACTCCCAGAATTCCCTACTCTGAGACTGGGAAGCACACAGAATTCTGGGAGTTGAAGTCCATCGACCTTAAACCTACTGAGAAACGCTGTCCTGGAAGCCCGGGGGTCTTCAACCCTGGCGACTTTTAAGACTTGTGGACTTCCACTCCCAGAATTCCTCAGCCAGCAATGTTCAGACTTGTGGACGTCAACTCCCAGAATTCCCTAGTCTGAGACTGGGAAGCACACAGGATTCTGGGAGTTGAAGTCCACCCGCCTTAAAACTGGCCGTCCTGGAGGCCTCCCACCCTCGCAACTTTTAAGACTTGTGGACTTCAACTCCCAGAGTTCCCAGTGTTCAGACGGGTGGACTTCAACTCCCAGAATTCCTTTAGCCTCAAGATGGAGAAACGCACAGAATTCTGGGAGTTGAAGTCCACACGTCTTAAAGTGTCAAGCAGGGGAGTGGAGAACAGGCGAACAGCTGTGCCTTGGGGTGGAATAAATGCCAGCTGCGTCCTGCCCACCCCTCACCACCCCACCCCGGTA